TCGCGGTAGCAAACGTCGATTTCTCTCTTGGACAACGGTGCCACGGTGCGATGTTGGAGTTTCGCGGCACTGTGGGGTGGCGAGCTGGATCGGTCCGTCCTCGCTGGCGTCTGCTCGTCGTCTCCCTCGTGTGGATGCGCTTGGGAGACGGATGAACTGCGGATATGTCATCACGTGATCAATCCGTCCGCGGATCAGTCCGTCGTGTGAATCGGCTATAACGAACAAAGAAACAAACTTACTTCGGTTTCCGTGCCATGATCTTGGCTGTTGAGCCGATTTGACGAAGTTCCACTTCTCACAGTCGCTTCCGTCTTTTTCGGACACGTTTGAAACTAAGGCAAACTCCACGCATCACGACTAGTCGGGAAATTTAACCGTTATCCGGTCGTGAACGCAGGCATTCAAACGCACACAGCCGATACGGCCGGCAAACCGTGCGAAACATAGGCTGTTGATTCGATGAGATTGTTTTCGTATCTTCAAAACATTTCAAATAAAAGGATAAGCAAACCGCATTATAAAACTCATAAAAGGCACAGCAATAATAAATAATTGTAGACGTCAGTATTGCCATAATATTATGAATAAGTCCTGAACACGTAGCAAAATATTAAATACGAAACTAAGTGTACAACGGTTTTGAAATGAATTCAGCAGACATGTATCCTTCCAGAAAATACATTGGGATAACTGGGTGACTTTAGCCTAGTGCGCTAACGCGCAATCATGTAAAGCGTGCGGACGTTGGTTCGAATCCCGGAAACACTCGTTTGTTTTTTTTTTTTTTGTATTAGTTTTTATTATTATTCAACATTTTTTTACCTTTTGTATTAGTTTTTATTACTTTAAATATTTTTTTCTCGCCTACTTGTGTTAGTTTTTATTATTTCTAATATCTTTTTCTCGCCTTTTTGTATTAGTTTTTATTATTTAAAATATTTTTTTTCTCATCCTTCTTGTATTAGCTTTTATATTTTTAAATATTTTTTTCTCACCTTTCTGTATTAGATTTTATTATTTTAAATATTTTCTATGTTTTTGCAGTCGTCGGCAACGTTCTTTAGGGTAATAATCACGGAGAAGATGAAAACAAAAAGTGCGAGCCTAAGTTTTAATCGTTGCAAAGCACAAACCGTGGCCCTCTTGTTTTGCCGGGATAGTTCATAACCGTAGGCAAACAGTACAAGTCCTTTCAAAGAAGAAAGAAATGTAATAATAATGAGCATATTGCGAGCAAAATGGGAAAATGTGTAAGTGGTAAAACTGCCACAGTAATGCAGCTGAAGTTTGTCTGAAAGCGGCCATCTTCACCCACTGTCGAATCAAAAATACCGTCATTTTAAGGCAGTAATTTAGCTGAGCTCATAGCGCGCTACGTATTAAGCACATCTCTTAATATTCTGACTTCCAGAAAGTAGTATTTAATTTGTTCTCGTAGATCAGTGCTATCCCCCGCGTGCCGCCAGGTTTTATTTATACAGGTTGCGCTCCGCAGTTTTACTTTTTTATTAGGCCTAGACACGTTTTTATTCCTGAGATTCAAGTGCAGCACGGATAATTAAACTAGCTTTCAGAAATGGCATCGTTCAACGTTGTAGCAATTATTTTTCGTAGCGTCAAGGGGTCACATTCACAAACCCGGCAGTGTGAACATTCACAATGCCGTGGTAATTCTCGCTTTTTTGCGTTAAAAAAAGAAGTTTTTATATTCGCGTTCCTCTGGAACGCTATGTCGTATAACATAAGTTATCAAAGCGACAGATATAGTTTGGCTATGGGAACATTCGAAATATTTCTGTTAGATAATCGTAACTACCACAGAAAGCAGTTGATTCCTGTCTGAAATAGCATATTTTCGCACTCAATTTCGTAGCGTCATAAGCAATAAACACATCTCTTACTTTTCTAGTCTCTGGAAAGTAATGTTTATTATTTTTTTTGTAACTCAAAGCGCGTGCTCAATCATGCCACGTTTTTTTTTTTTTCTTCATTTTTAGGCTCCGTTATACCGTTTTTAGTTTTTATCAGGGCCAAACACCTGCGTGTATACCACCGGACCTTAAGTATAGTACATCAAATTAAACTAGCTTCCTGAAAAAAGTAATGTTCGGCGTTGTAAAATTTATTTTTCGTGGCGTGGGCGGTCATATTCTCAAATCCTCTGCAGCTAATTTTCGTCACCGTATTGTTTTTCCTTGCGTTTTCGCGATAAAACACGTCAGCCTTGCCATGCGGGGATAAAATACCCTAGCGTCGGCAGTCATTTAGGAAGGATTGATCAACGCAAACATTTCCACTCGCTATCCATGAATTGTCACAGTTTGTCAGAATCTCAATGACTTGACTTCATAGTGAAAAAGGCGAAAAAAAATAAAACGATGCCGGTCAGTAAACGGATCTTCCATGACGGGGCTCGCCAGCTTGATCACAAAAGCGCCGATGCCGGCCAGTCACTGAACTTCCATGTAAATACTGGCCATCAAAGGATATATTAGCTTTCACTTCACAAAATAATTTTAATTTTTGTGATTGTTTTCTGTTCAGATAAATTCTGGATCACGGTTAATATGAAACATACACTTAACGCCAATGTCAAACCTGTCACATTGTTTTTTCTTTCTGTGTTGTCTCAAAATCGTCACTAGCGACGTTTCAGACTAAATGAATACCAGGTTTTCTTTTCCGCCAGCTCTGCATGACAGTCAATTTACCTCGTTTCTTCATACTGGCTACTGCATGTCAGGAACATTGGTGGTTTTGATAGAACCGAATTGGATGGACATCTGAGAATTCTAACTTATTAGTTATTACACTGAAGGCGACACGTACTGACACATGTAGCGATGTAGGAGTGTGATAGATATAGAAATAGACTTTTTTTATTATAAACACGACTACTGATTCCAACCAAGTATCCTTAATCCTAAAGTTAGATTGAACGGAAATTGTATTACCAGATGCACCACTCGCTGAAAGTAACTCTGTCAAATTGCCACAATATTTCAAGATCCGTCCTCCAAGTCATACCTGAGAAATTTTTTTTCTTTTATTTTTCGGCTAATATTGGTTAAAACCAGTTACCGGTAAATACTTTACGGTTACGCTTACGGTTACGTTTTTTTTTTTTTGTTTTTTTTTTAAATTTCAAATAACAATTTTCTTCCTGTTACGGTTGCTGAAAATTTTCGTTCCTAAATGGTTTTCGGTTTCGGTTACGGCTTAAATCCCTGCTTTGCGTACCTATATTGATAAAAGCCCCTGAAATTGCCTGCATGTGCACCATAATAGAATGTTCAGCATGCAGGTATAAACAAGGAGACCGCAGGAAAGCTGTCAAAGATACTGAAATGACACTTTTCGATTGTGTGTACATCTAGCTGTGGCATCGAATTAGTTCGTGTTTTTGTTTGTTTTTATGTGGAGAAAATTATATCAAAAAGGTTATTTGACAGTTATCAAGCAATTATTTAAAAAATAATTAAAAAATAACAAAACGTAGTTTGAGCATAATAATGAACAAGTATTGCAGAGTGCATAAAAATGATAGATGGAATCAGATGGCGATGACTTGCACAAAAATCGCCGTGATGTCGCCTTTTTGGCGCCGCATATCAGCTGGCTGTCTTCTGCGGTCTGAGCTTTGATCGACGCAGCAGCCCGTACGTACGGTATCGGGATGGATTGTTTGCAACTTGATATTTCAACCATACGCTTGAAAGTTTTCGGCATCAGGCGGCTGATCCGATTTCCTTTGGAACAAGATATGGCAAAGTATGGTTTGTGCAAAGCGGATATTTTCAGTCTAGACTCTGTCCAATTTGTTTTTTAACCGAATTTGACAAGGAATGGTTTGTTCGAACCGCATATTGTGTGTCTGGAATTCCTTCAATTGTACTTTGAACCGGACTCCAAAAATCACGGTTTGTTCGAACCAATTAGGAAAATCACGGTTTGTGTGAACCGGAATTTGACTGTCTGGAATTCCTCCAATTTGACTTTGAAGCGGATTGGGAAAATCACGGTTTGTGCGAACTGGAATCTGTCTGTCCGGAATTCCTCCAATTTGACTTCGAACCGGATTAGGAAATTCACGGTTAGAGCGAACCGGAATTAGCCTGTCCGGAATTGCTCCAATTGGACTTTGAACCGGATTAGGAAAATCACGGTATGAGCGAACCGGAATTCGCCTCTCCGGAATTCCTCCAATTTGACTTTGAACCGGATTTGAAAATTCACGGTTTGTGCGAACCGGAAGCCGCCTCTCCGGTGTGACTCCGGTTTGATCTTAGTCCGGATTTTACTTTCCGGACTGATTTCAAACCGTTATTTTTGCTAGGGAGCTACGTAACTGTGAATGAGAAGCCACTTTTTTTTCTATTTGATGTTCCACATCTGCTGAAGTGCTTACGAAATATGTTCTTCAAGTACAATTTTCAAGTTGGGGACCACACGTTGAGAAGCTCTTTCCTCAGGGAAGCCTACGAAAAAGACAAACAACTTGAAATCCGATCCATGCCAAGGCTCAGTGAGAAGCATTTTAATTTGACTTTTGCCTCCAAGATGTCAGTGAAACTAGCAGCGCAAATATTCAGTAATCACTGTGCTGCTGCAATGTTTGCCATGGTAACTTTCCAGCAACTGCCAGTTTAAGCTATCCACACGGCCCGGTTTATTGAAAAAATGGATCGTCTTTTTGATAGCTTGAACAGCTCACAGAAACGCGGGAAAAGTGCATATGTGTCTGCAATGCACGAAGGCTCTGTTCACAAGGAGTTTCTGAAAATGCCTTCTTATGTTCGAAAGCCCTACCGCTCTTGGGTGCCCACGCAGCCTGCTTACATTCGCGGTTTCTCCTTGACCATTCGGTCTATTATGCTGATTTATGAGCACCTGACATCTGAGTATGGTTTCAGATACCCTCTGACTCGCCATCTCAACCAAGATGCACGCGAAAACACATTCTCCGTAATAAGGTCAAAGTTGGGTGCGAACGCCAATTCCTCTTGCCGGCAGTTTCAGGCAGCCTTTAGGCATCTCCTAGTTAGCAACTTGTTTAAACTGTCTGACAAGAGCAACTGCGAAGAGGACATGGCAACTCTTCTAGCGGCTCTTCCGGTTGGTCTCTCAGCTCCCTCAGCTTCTCTTAGCCTCGCAAGCTCACTTCCACAATGTGCAGCTGACCTCACATCCTGTAGTTATCCCTCTTTATTATCACTTAACAACATTGTTTACTTTGCTGGATGGCTTGTAACAAGGTTTGTCAAATATCATACATGTCAAAACGTGACTCAGCAATGTGAATTGCAAATCAAGAATGCCACTTTTTCTGATGACAGCCAAGTGTTGTTGTATTTGAGTGTGAAAGGAACGGCTGAAGGAGACTTTGGAAGCCTCTCGGTCCCTTCACCTTGCTTTGTTTCTTTCGTTCAAGCTTGTGAGAAGGTTTTTGTGGCGTCAATTGACAGTCTTGTTTTAAAAGAAGGCGTTGGGAAGGCGTTGTGCATCACTCTTCATGAGAATGTCGAAAAGCTGCTGACTCTCTGCAGTGAGGATGTCTATGACGATTTATTTGCTTTGTTTGCAAGGGTGGGGCTTCATTGGTTCGCCCGTAAAAAGAATACTGAGCTCCTTAATGCAGCTGTGAGACGCAAAACCAAGCAACAAGTCCAGAGGCTGTGCAGATGAGACACCGCTTGCGTTATGCCCACAGGAAGTCCCTTTAGTTTGTTTTACGTGTTGCATTCAACGATCACCCTGTGCATTATTGAGGAGTGTGTGAGAACAAGTGTTGACCTCGATGTTTTCTTGTGCAGTGTGCCGACTTGAAACGTAAACCTGGATTAGTGTTTGGTTGTGTGAGGTATACAAAAGTATATCAAACTGCGATGAAAGGTAAATCAGTGAGTGAGTATGGTGCTAACAATTTGCCACAGAGCGAATTATTATCCTTTTTCTAATGCTTTCTTTCCTGTCATTTTGTGGCAGTTTCCTGCGTCCTAACGCTCACATAGACAGCCAAGCTGTGGAGCACAATATGCTTGTGGCGAGCGCATATGCTATAACGAAACTTCTCAATTTTCAATCTCTTGAAGCATTAATTCATATGGACATTCAAATGCAAAAGACAGGCATAGCTCCGACCTTGCCCGCACTTCCACTTGTGATTGATATAGTTAAATCTAGTTACGAGCTCTCAACGTGAACAGTGCAAGATAAATGCGTGAACGTGCCTCCTGTTGAGAGTATTAAATGCGCGCATAGAGTTGTCCAGACCTTTTTCACTTCGTTTTTAACGCTATATCTATCTTCAAGTGTTCAGTTGTGGTGTTGTAAGTTTGTATATAATAAATTGCGTAAACCAAACTTGTGCCTTTTTTGCCTTTCTTGGCGAACAAGCCGTTGTTACAATAATAAGTACGCCTTCATAGGCGTGCTGTAACACACTGCTTAGTTAAAGAAGATAGTAACTTATTGGTGGTTCCCAGAACTGATAAAAAACTGGTTCTTCTGGAAGGGGGATTACATGGGAATGATTGATACAAACAAGGTTGGCTATTACGCGTGAAGCAAGGCTTGAAGGACGGTAGCAGGCGTGTAGAACATCTGAAAAACTTTAAATTTCGCGCCACCGGCGAAAATTATTTAAATTTTGCGCCAAAAACAATTGTGACGTCACAATCTTGAGAAAAATGCGTCATATCATGTTTCTTTTTTTTTTTTAATAAATCGCCACTTCCTGTACGTCACGGGCGAGCATGACTAATGACAATGCCGCGCAACTAACAGATGGCGCTGCGCCCCATGAGCAGCCATCTTTGCGCCTATGGGCTTCTATGGAAGCTTCGCTACCATCCATACATATACCTTGGAGCTACACCGAGCCGATGGTCCCTCGAATTTTCTTATACATTGACATTGAACTAGATGTTCACTTGTTTCCAAGTTAATTGAGACGTCCGAGAGCCAGAATGCTTGAGTGGTGGCGTCGTTGTTTTTTTGCCGCGGCCGCAGTGGGACAAATGCAAAAGACAGGCATAGCTCCGACCTTGCCCGCACTTCCACTTGTGATTGATATAGTTAAATCTAGTTACGAGCTCTCAACGTGAACAGTGCAAGATAAATGCGTGAACGTGCCTCCTGTTGAGAGTATTAAATGCGCGCATAGAGTTGTCCAGACCTTTTTCACTTCGTTTTTAACGCTATATCTATCTTCAAGTGTTCAGTTGTGGTGTTGTAAGTTTGTATATAATAAATTGCGTAAACCAAACTTGTGCCTTTTTTGCCTTTCTTGGCGAACAAGCCGTTGTTACAATAATAAGTACGCCTTCATAGGCGTGCTGTAACACACTGCTTAGTTAAAGAAGATAGTAACTTATTGGTGGTTCCCAGAACTGATAAAAAACTGGTTCTTCTGGAAGGGGGATTACATGGGAATGATTGATACAAACAAGGTTGGCTATTACGCGTGAAGCAAGGCTTGAAGGACGGTAGCAGGCGTGTAGAACATCTGAAAAACTTTAAATTTCGCGCCACCGGCGAAAATTATTTAAATTTTGCGCCAAAAACAATTGTGACGTCACAATCTTGAGAAAAATGCGTCATATCATGTTTCTTTTTTTTTTTTTAATAAATCGCCACTTCCTGTACGTCACGGGCGAGCATGACTAATGACAATGCCGCGCAACTAACAGATGGCGCTGCGCCCCATGAGCAGCCATCTTTGCGCCTATGGGCTTCTATGGAAGCTTCGCTACCATCCATACATATACCTTGGAGCTACACCGAGCCGATGGTCCCTCGAATTTTCTTATACATTGACATTGAACTAGATGTTCACTTGTTTCCAAGTTAATTGAGACGTCCGAGAGCCAGAATGCTTGAGTGGTGGCGTCGTTGTTTTTTTGCCGCGGCCGCAGTGGGACCACCGCGTGAACGGCAGTGGGTTTACGCGTTCACGAAGACGAAGAAGCAGACGACGACGAAGCAGACGACAAAGCGATTCTAAAGCGATAAGACGACTGGAACTGCTTTCTTGCGCTTGCTGACAAACGAAGGCATCACAAACAACACAATCTTATGAAGTACAGACATATGCAAGATAATCAAGCTGATAGCGGGGCATGCCTAACGATAATCTATGATGATGTACGCGCAGCCCTATGTAGCCGGGAAGCCGGAAAGGGATGACTGCAAGTAGCATGGCGGCGGCACCACTTCCGGAATGCGCACGCCGGCGCAGTTCGCTTGGTGACATCGGTCTATTCCAGACGCACGAGAACAGCACAAATATAAAAACAAATACTACGATAGAAAGACTGGCGTCCATTCGAGCCATTCTACGAAGTGCTGTTTGGGGAAGCAAACGCGTGGCTGGGAACCGCAGTGAAGCGGCTTGTTTTATTGGCTTTGAAATATGTAGGACTTGAGCGCTTACATTCTACTAAGAGATTCATTCCCTGAGCCGTTTAAAATACTTTCGGAGGTATGCTGAGAAAAAATAAAAATGGTGGGAATATTGCTTAGTGCTTGCGTGCTCATCGAGAAAATCTGCATCCTCAAAACGACGAGTATAAAAGGCGGAAGAGCACTGCACCGAGTTAGTGAAGGGGGCAGTGTGCGTCCATAGGGATGTTTGTGTCTTTTGTATATGTTCTCCCCGTATTGGGGGGGGGGGGGGGGGGGGGGTGTACTGTATCGTATGTAGTGGCACGCTAAGTGTATGTGTGTGTATAATCGAGATGAGTAAATCGCAATAGTAGAGTAAAACACTTCTAACACGATGCGTTAAGGAGTTCGTGTCGAAGAAAAGCCGGTGTAGGTGGCGTGACGGAAAAATCGAGATTGGTCGATAGGGTCATGACGTCACAGCCACATACCCTCGCGCGAAAATTTCAAACCACCCACAACGCTCACGTGAAACGTGACGTCACGCATGGAATGAGAGTGAATAAAACATTGCATGTAATGTGAATTAAAGGTCGCCGCATGTCTGAAATGATTTCACTTTACAAAGTAATTTATTTGCCTAAAAAAAAAAAGATTTGAAAAATTAGGCGGGATTCGTCTCTTGCGGGGCACGCTAGGGGGGGAGGGGGGGGAGCGAGTCGAGTGGGACGACCGAGTAAGCTTTCGTGCGGCGCGTCCGTGCAACACCTCCTTGAAGAGAAGGGCGTAGAGCTCCGAGTGGTCACATCACAACGTCGGAGAAGGAAGGCCATGGCGCAACTACGTGAGAAAATATCTGGTATCGACGTGAAAAAAAATGTTATTTTGTCGAGTAGCGCGATGGTGTTTGTGGGCGTTTATCCGACATTAATATGCGTTTTAGAGGCCCAGTCTTATACAATTTATTACATATTGTCAGGAATGAAGAGGTAATGAAACAAAGAATAACTGTGGAAACTGAAACGTTTAATGGGGCGAACTTGTGCCCAAAAATAAAAAAAGGAAACAAAAATATAACAACAGAGCGTCGCGGGCAAAGAAGGCGGCGAAGCAGCAGGATCAAACGCTGAGGCGAAACATGCTTTGGCTTGCCACGCGAAGCATCTTATGTACACGGGTGGGCTTCTGGAATGATCGACATAGAAGGCTGGACGCGTAGAACATTCGGACCTCGAACACGCCCACCAGGATTCTTGAATTTACCAGAACACTAAATTGCAGTAGTAAACAAAAGATGCGTCTCTCCCAGGAATCGAACCCTGGCTGTTCTCGTGGAAAGCAGGCACTATAACCGTTAGGCCACGCGCGTGCTGCCTGCTTGGCCAGCTGCGCGCGCGGCATCACTCCCCCCTTTAAAAAGTTCACCGCCCCGATGCGTCACAAAACAAAACAAGGCAAATAAGAAGAACGGTAAACTAAAGAGTCATTTGGAACACATAAGGTCCACAGTCCTATCGACCGTAGGACGGCTTCAGGCGCACGAAGTGGACGACTTCAGGTCGTGGTGGCGGCCTGATGATATTTTTGTTCCGTCGGGCATCACCTCGTAGTTCAGATCTCGGAGTCGACGAAGTACCTTGTAGGGTGAGAAATACCTTTTCAGGAGTTTCTCGCTGAGACCACGGCGACAAATCGGAGTCCAGACCCATACCCGGTCTCCGAGCTGGAAATGGACGTCCCGAAGGCGAAGGTTGTAGCGGCCAGTGTCGACGCATTGCTGGGCTTTAATCCGGAGTCTGGCGAGCTGACGGACTTCTGCCCGTTGGGCAACCACCTGGGCGTCGTCGCTTCCGTCGACAGCCGGTTCGTAGGGTAACATCGCGTCCAGCATCGTCACTACTTTGCGACCATGAGCCAGTTGAAAGAGTGTCACCCCGGTGGTCTCTTGCACGGCCGTGTTGCAGGCAAATGTGACGTACGGCAACACTTCGTCCCATGTCTTGTGCTTAACGTCGACGTACATCGAGATCATGTCGGCGATGGTCTTGTTGAGTTCCTCTGTCAGCCCGTTCAAGTGCGGGTGGTACGCCGTGGTGCGACGATGGCTGGTGTGGCTGAGACGAAGGACTTCTTGCGTCAGCTGGGCCATGAATGATCATCCATGGTCTGAGATCAGAACTTCGGGAGCGCCGTGCCGGAGGACGATGGACTCGATGAAAAACTTTGCACCTTCTCAGCAGTCCCTGCAGGAAGGGCTTTCGTTTCGGCGTATCGCGTGAGATAATCTGTGGCGACGATGATCCAGCGGTTCCCCGAAGTCGACGGCGGGAAAGGGCAAAGTAGATCCATTCCGATCTGCTGGAAAGGTGCAGTTGGAGAAGAAATTGGCTCCGGAGTCAGGCCGGCCTCGTGAGAGGTTTTTTGCGTCGCTGGCACTCGTGGCATGATCGTGTGTATAGGTGGACGGTCTTGTGGATCTCGGGCCAGTAATACTTTTCACGAATACGGGCCAGTGTCCGGCTGTAACCAAGGTGTCTGGACGTCGGGTCGTCGTGGCAGGCTTGGAAGATCTCCTCTCGAAGGTCGGCCGGGATTACTAGCAGCCACGATAAGTTGTTGTCCCTGAAGTTCTCTTTGTAGAGTACACCTTGTCGCATGACGAAGGTCGACAGGGCTCGTGAGAAAACACGTGGCATGGTACTCCCACACCCTTCCAGATGCTCTATTAGAGCGCAGCTCGGGCGCTCGAGACAGGCAGTAGGCGTTGCTGTGCTTGCGGTCTGACTTGTAGTCCACAGTTATGTTGAACTCTTGTAGTCGGAGACTCCATCCAGCGACGCGTCCTGACGGGTCCTTGAGGTTGGCAAGCCAGCAGAGCGA